TTTAACAGGTCTGCTCGTTGGTTTAGAAGCACCTAATAGACAAGACCCATGGGAGAAAAATATTGGAAATAACTAAAAAGAGATATCAATACCTTATGTGAATGAAAACATGTGGGCAAATACTGAATGTCTCAAAAACAATTCCAGATCCATGCATTAGTTAAAACCACTCACTGCTTGATGATACAAGCATATCCCATGAGTATAATTACAATATCAATATTGGAACGGATGACATGACTTAAAAAAGTTAACTAAAATCAAACACATTTTAAAAAGTAGCAACAAATAACCAATTTGTTTGACTACTTCAATTAATTGAACTAATTTATTGAAAATGAGGTGATGCTTATGGTGTGTCAACTTTAGTAAGTGGATTAGCTACAGATGCACAACTGATATAAGAGTGCTTTGACCACTTCTGAAAACACGAATCATGATGAAAATCAATATTCATCACCTGATGTCTTTTTTTCCTGAAAAACCTATCATTCTCAGTTCCCAGTGGATTGGAAATCATATATACCTTTTGTCCTTAGAGACCACTGACTGGGGATTCCATTTGTGTGAACAATCACCTTATTGTTCATAAAAATAGTCGATATTCTAAGTTGTCAGTCACCATAGTTCTGTATTGGCAAATAATTCTGACAATTATCAACAGTACATTGTTCAATCTTTGAGCACTCGTCATAGGAATTTGAAGTATATTTCAATCAAAGAGAAACTGAAATATTTCTATTGACACTCGAGATGATTACTGGAGAGAACACCACTCATTGGTACATGCACAATATCCCATACAAATGCCCCCAATGATTTTTCTGTTGACTGAATACATGACAGGAACTGAAATTTTATGAGCACACATTGCAAGCATCAGTGCGTCTCAACACAGGCTAGCAATGTGATTTAGCTAGTGACTACAGGATAGTTCTACTTCTGGCAGTTTACAAATGATGGTTGACACATGCAGTATGAATGCAAAGCAGTTGTGGGTTAACCATAGGCCACTGGTGGATCCCATCTTTCCTTCCTTCTTAATATTTCTTGTCTTAATATATTATCACTGAATTCTTTCCCTCACACAAATAAAACATCAGTAAAAATTCATTACATAAATCAGAAAATCACGAACAGCTGCAAAAATTGCTGATGCAGTGGTCAGCAATATTCACTCACTTACTCACTCTGCCTTAGGACCAATTTTTGTGATGGAAAGTTCAGTTTCAATATTTGGCTTAAATGTGCCTGCACTTAATCCATGAAATTTTGTGTATACCTGCTTAATTTCTAGGGAAATAATAACATCACCAGGCCGGATGAGTATCACTTCCTTAAGTGGCATATAGAAGCTGGTATGATGAAAAGGAACACTTTTTATGGATGGACAACTTCTTTGTTGCAGTAGTTGCGACGTTTCGGTGTAGATCCTAACACCGTTATCAAGCAGTCATCCTAACACCGAAACGTCGCAACTACTGCAACAAAGAAGTTGTCCATCCATAAAAGTGTTCCACTTCAGGATGAGTATGCACTTGGTGAATATCATTATTATGTGATATCACTTCATACAAGATCAAAACCAGCTGCAATGCTGAGGATGTGAGACAAAACATAAAGGCTGTAACCTGTAACGAGGAATATTGCTTATTACCACTGCGTTAAAAAGCTGATGAGTAACATGGCCACCTTGTGTTTAGGAAGATCAAAAGTATCTCCATCATTTGTAAATACATGTGGTGTAAGTTTGGATAAATAGTGAACGATTCTGTGGAGCTCAGCTTGGTCAAACAAGTACATACACAACTGTAACTTCTTCGATTTTCACAAACACTCTGTGATATTAGTTGTAGACAAATAGCCAGTAATTTGAGTCAGTGTCTGATAGAGTAAGATGTGCCAGACCAATTGGCTAGGTTTTTGCTTCTTGATTATTAAGACTGACAAAAAAAGAAGAAAAAGGTAACACTTCAAAGACTCAGTTTACTGGAAGGGTGAATGTTAAAGGGTACGTCATCATGAACCGAGGTTGATGATGAATTATACTACCATATACCCATGGTCTCTGGTTAAACATTGCTAAACTCTTTGAATACATACTGGAAACATCTCACTGGAGGATATAGTCTGCTTTAACTGCCTTACATGGGTTTAAGTTAAACCCAGCATTCTGCTGAAATGTCCACCACATGAAATATAAGACATGGTTACTAATTTAGCTTGAAATTCCATGGTTTTATATTTTTATATACATATTTGGCTAACAAAAACTCAGTCTGTGAAAATGTATAGCTTTGATAGAAACAAATTACTACATTAAAATTAGTGAGTGAGTGAGTTTAGTTTTACGCCACACAAAGCAATATTCCAGGTATATGGCGGCGGTCTGTAAATAATCAAGTCTGGACCAGACAATCCAGTGATCAACATCATGATACATTAAAATGAAAAAGGCGCCCCAGTGAGATGAGAGATTCAGAACCTGTGGAAAACATAGACTTGATTCATTTGGGTCTCTTGCTGGACGGAAGGGGAAAATATGTGTTTCTTGGACTGTGAGACAGAATAATATCTTGTCTATAATAACAAGTATTTGGCTGTTACACAAGATATTCTCATAATTTAAAAAATAATGACTAATTACATCTTATCTCTGTTGTTTATATGTTATATGTTGTTTCCGTAGTGAGATGAGGCTTTAATAAAATATCTGTATTGTAGCTGTATTGAACTTGTAGGTTCTTTTCAGCATTACTTGACAGAGCATAGTGTTAACTGTTATCTCAATTATTGTATAGCTCTAACACTAAATTTGGAATAGAGGCAATTTATTCACTTTTACACACAAATAGTGCATACCCTTACCAAATATTGTGGAAAGTATCATGAATACTGCAATCTGGACAATCATTTGCTTAACAGTTTGCTTTTCAAGAAAAAAAAGTAAATATGTGATACATCTTTATACACCACTGAACTGATATATGAACAGGATACTTCACACTATTCAAATATATGATTTTCCTTCTTGTAGGCAATACAGGGCCTATTTTCCTTCTTGAAGGCATTAGACGGCCTATTGTTACTGATTAATTTCTGTTGCTACAATAGTTATCTTGTCTCTGAATGCTGATGCCTATCACTACATCACTGAGATTCTCCTACAGGCTAAACCATCAAGTAAAGGATGCTAAGTGACAGCATCTCATCGCTTAATAATTCATGAATTGAGGCGGAAATCAACATCAAGGCAAGAAATCAATGAAAGTGTAATACAGTAACATAAGAAATATAACCGAAAGATAATTGCAGATAATGCAAATTAACTGGTTGTCATAGCAGACCAGCATAAATTTACATACAGTTTTATAGAATCAAAGCTGAATAGAGAAACATGAACCAAGGAAAACAATAATGAGGAGAATTATTCATCATATTACACCACATGTCAATAGCAACATAGACATGAAACAAACAGAAGAGGTGTCAAGTTAGAATTCAGAATTATGCAGCACACTGTTATGCCAGGTGAACTATTCTCACCTTTTTTCACAAATGCATCTTTTTCTAAGATCAAAATATGTTGGTTATTTTGTAACTAAGTTGCCTGATTCAAACAAGTCTGACTCTAGACTAAGATTGCAACTAAAACTTTCCATAAAAATTACAATCAACCCATAAGAATAATACAAAACTAGTGCAGTTGCATTGGGGCACCATATGTCCATAATATTCAATAACAACAATATTATGTTTACATGGTGATGCAATGAACTTTGCAGAGCGTGTGTATTTTTACAACCAACACCATTTAGAGCAAGATATCATAAGGCAATCTCTGACTGATATAATTATCTGATTAATATGAGAACTGTGTAGTAAACAGATGCTTGTACAATATTCTGTGTGGGATGACTGACCTATTGATGGACACAGCGAGTACATTAGTGTCAACAGCATTTCCTAAGGGTTATTACTGTAACAGGAGCATCTGCGAATAGCTTCATCCAGTGTTACAGTGTATGACGAATCTGACCTATTGGTACCTATCTTAAAGGACACAGTAAGAATATCAGTAACATCAGAATTCTCATAAGTGTTATTATTGTTTGAGGGGTGGTGAGGTAGCCTAGTGGTTAAAGCGTTCAATCGTCACGCCGGAGACCCGGGTTCGATTCCCCACGTGGGTACAATGTGTGAAGCCCATATCTGGTGTTCCCCTCCGTGATATTGCTGGAATATTGCTAAAAGCGTCGTAAAACCATACTCCCCACTCACTATTACTGTTTGAGAATATGTGGAAAAGCCTTTCCATGTTGTAACATTCTTAATGAGTGAATGAGTTGGTCTGGGTGCTGTCGTGAACAGTATTTCAATGAAGCAAAAAGTGAAACTGGCTGCAGATGTTTTCAACCAACAAAAAATGCTGGTTCTGAGAGATCAAGGATCAAGGGTGAATCCAGAATTTGAATAAAACTGAGAGAACCTTTTACATCATCATAATCCATGATGAGCAGATCCCTGCACTGCTTGTGGATGCAAATCTGGGAGGAGACTTGCGAGCAACACATGCCTCACATTCACAATGAACAAACAGAACAGCATTTAGAATGCTGCAATAACTGTAGCTGAGAACCCTTGGAGCTGAGAACAGTTGTCTGCCTCTTGCTTATTTCTGATATACTGCTTACAAGCAGTCACCTTCATCAGCTGATGTACCTGGTATTTAAGTACAGTTAATGACATACACATGTTCATAAATAGAGTTGAATGTCAATGATCGGGGTATGATGGATACTAAGAATTACGTCACATTTTTATATTAGCTACTGCATCCAACAAATAAATACATAATCAAATACCAGCACAAAATATTCCAGCAGTAGATATTGATAGTTCACATAGGACATGTTGAAACAGAAGTACACTGTATAACAATGAGAGACTGTGAGAAAAGACAGTAAAGGTAAAGTTGAATATTCTGCTGTGTGACCCACCTTGTCCTTAATCCCTTGGTCAATCTCTTCAATAGGCCAACCACAGTAAGGAGTTGGAAAAACTCCATAGTTTTCTGTGAGTGTATTTCCCTCATGGAGAAGAGGGTCTGGTTCCACATGCTGCTCATCTTCATCATCATCGCCAAACCTAAGGTCACCATCAACAAGACGTGCTGTTTGCCCTTTCTTGAGCCGTTCTTGTGCTTTCAACTTCTCTGACTTCTCTCGTATCACAAGTTCCTCATATGTTTTCTCTGTAAACTTCCTGAAGTGGCACATTTTGCTGAATGGTTTTGGCTTCTCCTCCTCAGGTTTGATGGGTTCATTATCCATCTCCTCCTTGTTTTCAGGAGGAACTTTACTAGGAATGTCCTCTGCTGGTGAGGAAACCTCTTCCCCAGGTGGGATTTTATCATCTTCGGGAATCGTGGTGGCTGTGTTTGTGATGTCTTCATCTTCAGCTTTCATGATTTATACATGCAAACATCAGGCACTGCTTCAACTGATTGGTCACTGTACTGTGTCCGCGGCAAGTGAAGGTTTTACGTTTTTTTAGAGTCTACTACAGTGGAGTCCCATCAATACTTATTTCCATGTATGCCATCTTCTTTTTGTCTCATGTTTCCTGCAATTGTACATACACAGTGATTAATAAAATGTGTCATTAAATGCTGACTAATGTTATTACATACCGACTAAAACTAAATATGCACTCATTTCAAGTTTAATATCATTTTCAGGTCATTGCAGTTGTCTTTGGGTTGTTTACACTTTGGGATAACATTATTTTAATGTATGTTTTTTCATTGTACTTAAATACAGGGGTTGACAAATACCATTGCGGGGTCAGGTCCAGTGGATTTCTCTGGTCTGTCAAGTAAATATCCACATTAATCTTTACTGTGGTACAGTAGTGCCAAACTACTGAAATGTTTTTTTAATATATTTTTTGATGGTACGTATTTTGATGATGAAATAAAAATGCAATTGCTACCAAATTGTTAATTGTGGTCAAGTGAAATTTATATTTGGCCAAGTGGATTTTGAAAGTTTACTGGACCTGTGTCCCCTGGAGTTTTGAAAAAATGTTCAACCCCTGGTAAATATTATTTCTATGCATTTCAATGTACATAAATGAGATTTGACTAAGATTTCAAAAGATTACTAGGCTGACACTAGTAAAGTGGGGATAACACTTCAAAATTAAATGAAAAAACATCATGATCCATAACCATTTCTTTTTTGTTCCAGTGTTAGCCACCATCAAACATGAAATATACCTTCTTTTTGGTCAGCATCCAAATTTGTCAGAGGAGTAGAATGAGGTTTAACAAAGTCAAATTCTTGTCATTTGGGTTTCAATTACCGTTTGTTTTGGTTTGCCAACAATAAACTACAGAGTAAACTACAAATGCACATTACTCCAGTTCCTAATTTTTAATTGCAAGCAGCTGCTAAAATCTGTTTCTTCATCTTATTTACCACTAGCATTGACTCAAAGCATAGTGGGTTAGTTAATACCAACTACATGTACATCCATACAATGATGGGTTTTCTTTTCTGTCAAAACTAGGTATAAAACTAGTAGACTTGCATGTTCCATTATCTCCTTAGTGGCAAGTAAATAGTCATTCCATTCATCTAACATACTACTTTGTATGACTGACTGAAATTCATCAATACACATACATATGTAAGATGTTTAAGAATTCAACCACAAATATTCATTTCTCCCAAATCTGTAACCTACAATGTTTCATAAGGAACACAAGAACAAAATACCCCCAACATTTTCATAAAACCAAATCTATTTGAAAAAGCCCAGTCCAGAGTCCATAACTAAATCAAGTTACTTTAGATTTGACACATTCATTTATGCTTTGTGAATACTGAAATACCAAGAACTGAGAACCTAGTGGTCCATATCCATAAACATGATATGGTTATAATCTGGATGATACATCTACGGTAAGTGATTACCATCAGTTACACACAATCCATCAGATGGCATATACGTAAATCATACATACTTCACTTCTCTACAAAATATTGTGTCTAGTCTTACCGTCACTATTACCGAGGAAGGCAGCAGAATTACAGAAGAAGTCCTTCCACTATTAATGCGTCTTCACAAACTCTGCATATCCTCTCAATAGGCAAACAGCTCTAAGTAACCCATGTTCACGCTTTGCATATTTCGTCCCCAACAACGAACACCTTGCGACACACTCGTGACTGCCGTTACACAATAATACTCACAAACATGGTGTTCTAAAGACTACCAAAGACTGGGGTTCAAGTCGGCAAAGTTTTGTATGTACGGAAAGGTATCCAGAATGTGTATTCTAACAATTGGAAAAAAGACAAAAAGAACGTCCTTAACCACACCACGATCACTGGTGTGTATCAACTAAACCTACCTTGTCATTAGGCGAGTCTCTATGTCAAGTTATTAATCCGAGTTTAAAGATCACATAACGACAGCCACGCCGAGGCAATACTGCCAACTCGCCAGACATCGACTGATCCAAGTCGACGACGTCACTCAGGTGTATAGGATTCCTTTACCATGTGACTGATCAGCAGGTATTGGCCAGCTATAGTCAGCACGGGCATACATACTGTTCATATGTCGCCGATACAAGTCAACTGTTTCTTACCTCAGTTCATACAGAATAATTTGACAAGTGCGAGTTTTCGCAGCGAGAATTTAGTCTAGCTTGACGAGGTCCAATTAACACAATGACTTTCTTTTGTTCTCATTAGTAATAACTAATTGATAAGGGCAAACGCTTGGTTGAAGCCGGTCCCCACACACAGTGTTTGTTTTGAGAAGGTATATACCAGGTTACATCGATCGAGTCCGAGTGTTATTGATGGTAACCGGCGATTGCTTACTCTTAACATGTGTAACTTATCCCCTGCGTCGATGTCCTGTGAACTTTAATTATACAGCCTTGTCGGCCGTGGAACAAGCTTAACGGTACAAGACAGCGCTAACGTCCTCGCGAATAATACATTCAGTTAACTTCAGAAATCCAAATGTGAAGAAAATATACGGAAACATACCTGCCCAAGTTTGTAGCATTCCAAACTTAACTGCTGCTAATCGAACTGGTAATCTGTTAAAACTGAGCTAGTTTTCTCCAACCATACAATAGCTGGGACTTCTGCTTAGTAAGTGATCGTTAGAGCGTAACAAGCAGCAAATTAGTCGTAAGTATATTTCCGAAATCCACTTAATCAAACGCCTATTGTATATAGGCATCTAGCCGCACTCCTGTAGAATGCAGTGGTGTATTAGTGTTGGGCGGTCGGTCGGAACACCCAAATCCTTTTATTGACAAGCCCCAATTATTGAAGATTGAATAGGGCTTTGCAGTGGCAAGGCAACGTCTACAGTTTGTCAATTGTTACTGTGACGCCGGGGTGAGAGGTGACGACTTGGGTCGCAGGCCAGAACCCTGCCTTAAGTATTCCAACACTGCAAACGCCAATACATTTTGTACGTGTCTGTCTCAGATTTTAATATAGATTCAGAGACACATTCACACAGGCCATACGTCCTGGCAATAAAACAACAATACGGATATACATTACTAGATACCAATCTCAAAACTTGCCAATCCCCAGACGCTCCCAAGTGTATTCCTAGATTTCATATAAAAGCAACAAGACCACGAAATCGCGATAAAAGATTTGTATCTATTTAAGTATGAAAAACACAGCTTCTGTATTAAAGAGTTTGAAGGAATACTGATCCTTGAAGTAATGACGTCATTGTTTTGGAGACTATCACGTCAGAAACCGAACTTGGTTCCACATGAATACACGCATGGTGAACATAATTTTGAAGCACCATAGCATCGATTTATCCAAACTGTAAGATATGGTTCTGTCTAGAATGTGACAGATTTATACCCGGACAACTCGGCGTTTAAACAAAGCCGACTGAATAGAACCATTGACTGATAAATTGCCGTTGTGTAGGACACGCGGTGCGTTAGTGTAGCTTCCTGTTAATGGTCAATCATTTAGGTGTACAGTTCTATATTAACTGTTGACAACGGAAACGGCTCTTTTCTACCTATTCAACAGTAACTGTATATGCTGTGTAAAACGTCGGCGACAGTCGATGTCATCACTTTCACCTGGTATGTGTTTTTTCAACGTCTTACACGAGATAACAGTTTCATTAGGGCTTTCAATATATCATCACTCACCGGCACAAATCAATGACGAAGAGAACTTACGCACTTAAAGACCACTGTCAACGATAATTGTCGTCGTCTGTCAAGGAAACGGGGATTTACTGAACCTTAACGGGAATGTACTAAATGTCTTATCTTTGAATGACGGAGCCTTTTTAATTTTTTACGGTTTACAGACACACTCTAAACCACAAGTGTTCAAGCAGAACAGTGCATGCGCTGAATTGGAACACATAGGCCATATTTAGAACAGGCGTGTTCTGTTTTCGAACACATGTGTATAAAGTCTGTGAGGTAGGTGTTCTAATTTCAGAACACAATGTGTTATTACAAGATTGGGATTTCGTAAATGAATGTGGTTACAACAAATGAAATGACTAAAATACCTTTAACATAATCATTAACCTGTTAAGATATTTTAAGACAATGTTGAACATTATACAAGCGGACATTTAAAAAAAGATTTTAGAGAAATTGGTAATACTTTCTGTATTTTAACTTTAACCTTTCCTGCCCAGAAGGAGAATAAAAATACAGGTATTTTGCCAGAGGAAAATGATTCCTCAAAATGTTCTAAATAACTTGGTAGAATCTGGTTATATATGGTTTACAATTCATAAATAACTGAATAAGCAACCTCTAAAGTAGACTATCAGAACGCATAGTGTTCCTTTACATTTGATAAAATGAACACGTTAGGACGGTATCTGTTCTGTAACGTTTGATTTGATATCTTTTCGGACGGCGTGTGTTCTGATTAGAACAGCTGATGTTCTAAAAGAATGACGTCATGATAAACATGCGCAGTTGTCTCTTCCCCAACGCTACCGAAAGTCGTTTGGCGCCACAGGTCAAAATGAAAATGCTGCCTGTGATTTAGCTTATCGAAGACAAAACAAGACTCCATCAGCGTGGCAAATCCAACAAGACCGCAAAGAGGTCAATTTTAGAAGTTAAAAGGGTAAGTGGTATATATATTCAAATTCATGTATTACATACTTTTATATCCTGTTATGTAAGGAAACTTATCATCAAGAAGGTGGTTACAAAGATTCTTCCACAATGTACAAACGTGAATTGCATATTCTTACAAAATGGAACCTGTTTTGTGTTGACTAAAACCGTTGGATAAGCGGGTGAAATAAAACAGTATTTTCATTCAAATTGTGTGTCGTGAATTAGAGTTCAGTTGAAATTTGAAATTACGTGTTTGCCACATCATATCTTTCAAATTTATTATTTAGTGTAAAATTGTATTATTTATTGTAGGATGTGACCGTTGATGAAATTGACGGGTCTCTGAAGACAAATGCCTAAGAGGGTCCAAACATCGTCGCTTTCGTTAGATGTGATGCTCTGGCCGGTCTCTACATCGCTGCCGACACCGTGTAATGCGAGGTGAATGTCGAGGGTGGCATCATGGTCGCGGTATTGACACTGATGCATGGCGATGTACTACATTTTCATTTTAAGCTATCCCATAGCATACACGGTGGTTTTGTAGGTTCAGAGAAATGGGGGAAGTTATCTCATCCTTGCCCGACCCTGAGATATAGGAGCTCTTTTTCAGCTTTTTCTTCAATGATGTGCAACTTTAACTGGATATGTTATAAGACCTGCACGAATGAGTTGTTGCAGTTATAGTTAGCTCCTTCTCCTACACTCCATTTAGCCGTCCGCAGTCTAACAAAACGATAATAACAATAACACGTAAGTGTAAATACAGTTTTTAATCAGTTCAGTCCAGAGCTCCAGATAAGATTTAGCTTATGTGGGTACTGTACCCACAGTATTTTTTGGGAGTGGGTATTATGAATGTTGAGTGGGTATTTCATTTTCCGTTACCCACTGCTTTCAAATATGTGCGTATTTCAGTCATTTTACTCACCTAAGTATTATATGTGACTGAATAAGTTTACTAAGCAGGTATGTTCTGCCTCATGTCATACCTAATCAAAACCAACTTAAATATAATGGAAATGATTTCATAAAAAATCACTCATCCTATACTGACAGTACAACACTTGCCCTATACTAACAGTACAGCTTGATAGCAATCGATGTCTTTTTCATTACGCAAGCGATTTTTATAAATATATTCCGTACGTATTTGTTTTAAACATTTTGGGTATCTAACATTTTAAATGCGTAATTGGTACGCAACAATTATATTTTAATGCGTAATTGGAAATTTTCTATGCGTATTTTACCCGGATACGCAGCTTATCTGGGCCTCTGTGGCAGTTCATATTGTTGTTGTTTTATTCGTTCATGTTAGGCTGGTGGAAGTTTGAGAACACTAGTGTTCTGAAATAAGGCTCAGAACACTCAAAGGGCGTTCTAAATCTGTTACAGCGTCCGAGGGTGTTCTGATTTGAACACATACAGACCACACAAAGAGTGTTCTAAAATCTAGAACACGAGCGTTCTGTACGTGGAACTCTGTGTTCTGACGGCAGAACACATAGTGTCTCAATCAGAACACTCCGACTGCGTTCTAAATCTGTTACAGGAAGGGTGTTTTCATAGTGTTCAGAACTAGAACACTTAGGTTTAGAGTGCACTGAGTATATAGATGATGTTGATATCAACAGAGTCACGTTATAATAATCATAGTGTAACACTCGAGGTCACCGTCTTCATCTACAACAGTGTAACGTTGACAACACGAACAGCAAAGCCCACACACCACGAGCCTTGTCACTCGACTCGCATGGCATTACAATATAGGTGAGTTCAGACTATAATGTCAAAGGAACGTTCGTAGATGTGAGTGAATCCCTGTCAGAAATATTCCAACGATCATTCATGGCGGCCTGTATATAATTGATTCTGGAGCAGGAAAAGCAGTGGGTTAAAGGAATGAGACAATGCCGCATCCATATTATCATTAAAAAATCTCTGCTAAAAGGACAGTCCATTATGCGATTCCAACTACATAAAAAGCATGTGTTTATGAATGAAGATACCCGTTGCATAAGCAACGATTTACACCATCGTGTCGCCACGATCATCCAAGTCTTCCACTGGAATTCGAAGGTAGGATCAAAATAGTGAAATTGTATAATTTGTAGTTACACCGTCCCTATCAATAGAACCAGGCTTTTTAACTGTAAAACGGTACATAATATCATTATTTTTATAAAAACCGTCATAACACGAAAGATGTCTGAGCGGGTTAGGCGGCTGATAAAGTGTGCTGGCAATTAAGTGCCTGACTCTGAGGGTGTGGGTTCGAATCCTGGATGGGACTCAACCCAACAAAAAGTACTAGAATCTGTACTTTACTAAGAAAAGGTAATCCCAAATATAACATATGTTACATGTCATAACAGGACTCATTTCCCATTCTAGTCCACTCTTATGATAATCATTTGGTGTTAGGGACCTATTCTGAAGTACCACGTAATGCGAGGGCGGTAAGGTTAAGTAAAGGAAAGGGACGACCGGGGATGGATTCCTCCTCGATGCCCAT